CATAAAATCCAAATTGATTTATGCGATAGACGGTGTGCATTCGGTTTGAATCGCGCCGCTCGTGATTCAGCAACGGCATCCGTTCATTCGGTAAATCGGCCTAAAATTTGCTGACGGCGGTGCTGACCTATGATTCCTCGAGGACGAGAATGTAGTAACCCAATACCTGTCCAACGGTCGGCTCATTCATGCTCATTATCCTGACACTCAACTTGAAACTTGCGTGGAATCGCGTGATAGATGCAGATATCTGCAGCAGGCGCTGTCTGCGTAATGAGAGAGAGAGAAAAAAAAGTAATACGATAGATAACAACAGGTTACACTTCTCTGTCGCCGTATTTGTGATACTGACACTCGCGATTATGACTTTGGATATAGTAGCCGAACCGCATGTCGCGCGATATGATCTCATTTCACGACTCGTTACGAAAAATACTCGACAAGAATATTAATTTTTTAACCGTTGCTCTAGAATATACATATTTCCAGAATATATATATATATATATATATATATATATATATATATATATTTAAGAAAATGTAATAGAAACATATTAATGCATTTTCTTGATTGATATTATTACATGAAAAATAAAAAATCTAATAGATAACGCACAAATAAATATGAAATATTTATCACAACAGAGATTATGCATTTTTAAACACATAAAATTTAATTAATTTACTAATAAATTTAATAAAATTTAATAATAAATTAATTTTCTAAAAATGTTATTATTAATTATATATATGACTTTAGAAGCAATTGTTAGTATAGATAAAATGTATCTTAATAGACTTATTACTAACACAAGATTAAAAATTATTTAAATATCTAGAATCTACAAGTTAATTTTGAATTTTATATAAATGTAGGTAAAAAAATATAAAGAAAAAGTCTATGAACCTTAAATAAGATTATTATAAATATAACTTGATACAAATTTTGCGCATGACGTGTGTTTGGCTAGAAGGAAAACATATGTAAAAGGTATATAATATGTATTTTTCTGTTGCGGTTGAACAGCACGCCAAACGTTAGAAACATTGTGTCTCTGTGGAAGTAAATATTTTGTTTCACCCGGCGCAAAATATCTGTAATGGGATCCGTTTACGGAGGAAAGAATCGTGATACGTGCACGCACGCAGGTGTACGCGTAAACGTAAATGCTCAAAGTCTTTTGCCATGAAGTTTCTTTTCTGTACGCAGTTCTCCCATCGTCCAAACATGTCCTGATGTGAGCATCGACCCCGTGGTTACCGGGAAACCATCGAGGTAAACGTCGCTAGAAAGCTATCTATGGTGTGGCCGGCTGAGCGCGCTTTTTAGGAATGAAAAGAATTGACGACGAATCCAAATTGGGAAAGAGAGTCGAGACGTTTTAAAAGCGAAAAACGCAAAGTCCGCACTCGCTGCATCGATGTGTTTCGCTGTTCAAGCACGCTAAGCTACGTAGGCCGTTTCTAAGAATAACTATTACCATCGGATACGAAAGGCAAGTTATCGCGAGTAGCATTTCATTTCAATCTCGTAAACTCGCGATATCAGAAAACTACTCAAGTTGTCGAAAAGGATTTTTTTTTTTTAAATCACCAGAGATATTTTTTTGCTACTACCGAGACAAATGCTTGGTTGACTTGTAAATGACTATGTAAGATGGTTAATACCAATATTGTGAATCAACTTTGTGGTGTGTGAACCGTCGATTGAAAGATACAGGATACAAATTAAAGTAGGCCAAGAGAGAGAAATTTAATATCATGGCTGACTATAATAATGGCAATAATCCTATTCAATGATACCGTTGTAGATAACGTTTCTTCTCGACTTACTCTCCCTCCAAGTCAACTTAAATTATGTTATTGCAATTACGATCGACTCGTAATGAAATATTAGGCAATTCTCATGCAGCTCGCTAGAAAATATACTTAAATTGTTGCTCATTCCGAGCTAGTTCACGGCAAATTTCACGTCGCATAGAGACCTCGCGGATTAATTTTCAACATGTAAGATAATATTAGACGGTCGCGGCGCGGAGAGTAATTTTGCGCAACTTTTCTGCGGCCAGCATTCGCGCAACCACCGTCGTTAATAAGGTGTTAGTCTGCCTGGCACATGATCGAGAAACACGGGGCACAGGATAGGACGTTGCAACAAAGCAACGATGACGGGTACAGACGAGCCATATCCGGGACGTCGACCAATAAAATTAATCGCTTTTGCCACTGAATAATTTATGCTCGCTGCTTGAGAGACCGACCGTCTTTCGCGATAAGTGCGAAACGCAATTTGATCGATGGATTGTTTATAAAAATGAATATTTATTCGAAGCCGAAGCAATAAAACGCAAATTCTTTAGTAATATTTCTCCAGTGAAATTTCTTTCTAATTTCTTTCTTGAATATTATAATCGCGAATCTTTCTCATCAACATGCGATATTTATTTATATTTATTTAGTAATATATATATGCTTAAAAACTTATATATTAGCTAATATATATTATATATTTTTTCAAGGCATATATAAATATTTAATATAGTTTAAAAATATGTAAAGATTTTATTTTAAATTATTATAGATATAATTTTTATTAAATTATATTTAATATCGTGATATTTTATACGAATTTTATATTTAAAAACGCACACCGAATAGTCATTTTTTCTCCTACCTGAATAATTTCAACCTTTCAATTTACATCGTTTTCAAAATCATCGATTTAATTAAAATGCCACGTAACGATGTGAGACACCGCAACGGCATTTTACGAATTGTATCCACGAATATATGTGACTTTCTTCAATTTCGAAATAAACGATGCATGAAAGTCGTTGGCTCGTAAAACTGTCGACGTGTCAATTGGCAGTTTCTTTCGTGTTGCGTCGTCCCGGCCGCGCAACAATGTTGCTCCCAGATGCGGCATGCATTATTCAATGTACCCGGAAGGCCAGTGCGGGTCTGCCGAAGTCGACTCTCCTCCACTGTGCTACTTGTATTTAGCCGCTACTACTTTCTACATATTTCTCGGTAAAGTTCGCAGAAATGCGCTAATGGCGCTTAAACCGAAAGACCAAATGAATCGAAGAGACTATGACTCTCGCACCTTCTAGTTAGTTGTGTTAATAAAACCGAGTATTGATGCCCCGTGTAAAAATATAAATTGCAAATGATGAAAAAGATGAGCGGGGAAAAAAAAAAAGAGGTTGAACATCTTTAACGCGGTTTGCAAAATATTTAATACGCCTGCGCTAACTCCATCTTTAGCCAATTCATTCGAATTATGTAAATTACGCGCTGCAGCGTTACGTAAACAAAATACTACATCGACCGTTAAGGATGCATTGCAAAATTTATGGGAGTAGGAGCCGTAAGCGCGGATTTTTCGCCGTTTATTGGGTGTCGCTGATATAAAACAACACGGTAGCTATTAGGAGCAGGATGTAACCGTTCAAGAGCGAGTGTTTAGTCGGGCCCTCATAAATCACGCAAGGGCGACAAGCAATTATAATAACTGTACCCGGGTATAAACGCGTAAATAAAATACCAAGCCCTTCGGCCAGGTAATGAGGCATACGAAGCTGGATGCGAACCAGTTCCAAGACTCGTTATCGCGGCAGAATAAACAACGAGGGAACACTTTCTCGAGGAAGTTTGTCTCGATTATCAATGTTTCAGGTGCCTCGACGTACGCCGCAATAATAACGAGTCCGTACAAACGAAAATAAAATTTATTATTACGATAAATCATTTTCTACGACGATCGTGTCTAAACAACCAACGTATATCGCGTATTTTTTTTTTTTTTTTTTGGCCACTCTTTCTCTATTATTTTTCCGACTGTTTATATTACTCTTACGTTACGCTACAATACGCTCTGTTATGTAACGCTGTTTATTCGTGGAGAATATTAGACGCCTGTTTAAATAGACATCTGGTTATTAAGCAAGGCACACACACACTTGAAACGCGGAGAGCTCGATCGGCGGCCGTTCACGTTCGGTCGTCTTCCGCCCAAAAATATTCCGGGAGAAATCTCCAAAGTTTCAAGGTCACGGGGTTTCATCGACCGTGGAATTCGAGTCGGAGTTTCAGATTTCAGCGGAACGAACTTGGAATTGCAGGATAGAAAAGCCACGGTGTATTCGCGGACGAGAGAGACCGAAAAGTACACGATGCCATTTGCCATAACTTTTTATCAGTTATCTAATTAGCCGTTGCATTTAATTAGCGATCCGAGGAGAGGATCACGAGATAGCCCTAGCGCGATGCGAGACCGGCGTCTTACGGGTCTGCAATAGCTATACGTAATTTTAATCCGCGCCCACGTCAGATAAGAAAGGTCGACGGATGGACTGGCATCTGCGTGCGCCTCGCAATTAGCTGTGTTTTTATTTATTCAGCTATCTGCCGTTTATTGAACCACGCGAGGGGTCGGCATGAAATCGTTCGATCGCTCGGCAAGAATTTTAAGAGCCTCTAAGCATATAACCTTACGCTGTTTTTAAAAGTACAAGTCGAGGAAAGAAAAGAAAAATAAAGAATGTTACGAGGACAGCCCGTTAAATCGTGATCCCAATAACTATATAAATTCGATTAAATTAATTAGCGATTTTAACGCAGGGAGCATCATAAGATATCCTTTATATTTACGAAGGCTTCTTAGCCTAATTGATTTGAAAAAGAATATTTCATGTATTTCCGTTATCTTTTCTAAATGAAAACTTTAAAAAACAAGAGACATTAATCTGCTTATTATTTTTATCCACCAAAATAATTTTAAGACAATTTTATTCAGCTCCAAGAAACTTTTTAATTTCAATTAATTTATGTGTATATAGTTTTGTGCGATAATGTATAATTGTGAATAAACCGTAAATCAACTATCAAAAGGGAACAATAAAAAACATGTATTGCACACTATCGCGTAAAAACTAATATACTTTCTTTGTAAATTGTGTGAGTATAGAAATGAATAATATTTAGTGGAGAGCTTACCTTTGCTGAATCTTCGATGAAAACTCCAATCGTTATCACATGCAGAGTGACCTCGCGAGTATTTTCAAGCTCTTCTGGAGTTGCGTACAAACCCTCGCTAAGAAAGTACGGTTCGGGACAGGTCAATCTGTAAAAAAATAACAATATTATATAATTTTTGCTACGTTTATTAAATACGAATATATTTTATAAAACACGAATATTTATATATATATATTTTACCAAAATTTTATGAAATATATTCAATTATAGTAAAATATATATATGTGTGTGTGTGCGTTTATGTTTTAAAAATGTCTGTTAGTGGCAAATGATTGCTCTCTCATCCTAAAAAATTTATAAAATATAAATCTACTTGTATAATAATTATTTTTTTAAATATTTTTATTTAAATTTGTTTAAGTCAGCATATTGCATGCTTTTAATAATCCTGAGTTGAATTTATTTCAGAAATAAACTCTGATGTTTTAATTAATAGCAATTTACATGTGCTTTCAATCTACATAATTATTATAATATTCAATTTTATTTCTAAAACATTTTAAATACATCTCGAGTTGTGCATAATTATGAGAAAGCTATTTAGACAACAAATTATTTATTAATTTTCCGTTAACAAAAGCAAAATTCCATTAATAAATTTGAAATTAGAATAATAAAATAACACTTAATTATACATCATAATTTATGAAATGCCAGATTAATAGATGATTCACCGAATGCAAATATCACATTATTTTGTTAATAAACTTCTCAATTACATTATATATGCTGATATTGCGCTCGCATCTATCAAGATATATCACTGTGTTTGAATTTAAATTAGAAACTCTCTCACACAATTAAAAATAAAATTACATTAATCAAAATTCACATGTATTCGTAAATATTTTTTGTCCTGTACATAAACTAAAATATCTAAAGTATCTCTCCAAATGCGTGGCTTGTTTACCCTTCAACAATTTCGCGAAAATCTACCTCGTGGACATTTTGAATAAATGAATCGCATCGCGGCCTAAACTTTGTTAAACTTTGCCGCATTTTTCTTCTCGCGTCTCTCTTGCAGGATATTAATCTTTACTACTTTCCTCGCCATGTGCTTCGTGGCGACGAACACGCGGATCCCGTGAGCCGCTCCCGGGGGTCATGGCAAGTATAATAAATATGTTCCCTCTTCGTCTTTCCGCGGTTGGAAAGAAAGAGAGACGTACGAGAGCAGGCGAGAAAAATCGAGCAGTTTCAACGGCCCCGAGATTGCGTGGCCAGGCAACATCAATTTCGAGGGTGATTCCCGGCGCTGTCGGAAGAGACCCGAAAATTTCGAATGCCCGCGTAATCGAGGAGCCTCCTCAAGTCGAGTGTATAAAGGTGCTCTTACTCGAGGATACCACCGCTGCCTCCTTCTCGCCGTCCTCTTCTCTTCCCTTCCGCGACTCCTTCTCCTCCTCGCTTTCTTGTTCCTCGACGTCCCTCTTTCGATAGTCGTTTTTTCTATCGTCCGCGATAATGATACCCACACGCTCTCGCTCGGTAATAATATTAATGGCTTCGTGTATCCCGGAGACCATTGGAGGCCCGGCAAAAGGAACATTGTGTGGAGATCCGTCGTAAGAAGCGGCCTCGCCGAGTATTATATAGAAAGCGTGGATTTCGCGCAAGTCAACTCGCATGAACTCGCTTCTCGTTCATTCATAAGACGTGTATTGCTATTTCCGATAAAGCTGATGAGAATTGATAATTGGATGCGGGTAATCCAAAGATTCCGCAGGTTGTTGCGATACGATCATTAATTATCCGATTATCATTTTGATGTTATCGTACGTTCAGATTTTTATGGAATGTTTATTTTTCACAGGAAACTAATGCGATTTCGCAGAAGTTTTTCTTGAGTCATAAAACGGAAACGATTGAATATGAAAGCGATAAAATTGTAAAGATAAATTTATAATCTTGTTATAATTATTTTAAAAAATTGAAGTTTAACGCGTATAAAATTAATGATACATTTTTATCATTTATTATATACATAACTACATTCGATTCAGAGAAGCTATATAATTGAGACGTATAATAATAAACCTTGTTTAATTTCTGATATATTTATTTTGTTTTTTAAAATATTTTCTATTTAATAAAACTTTAATTATTTTGATTTTAATTATTTTATTTTAATTATTTTATTTTAATTATTTTATCATACAAAATCTAATAAAAATGAGATCGAATCAATATACGTCGAATATAATATTAATATTAATATTATATGTAAAATAACAGAGATAGCAATATTTTTATGATATAACACTGGAACACATATTTTAACATAATACCAATCAATTACATCAGCTAATGTTGCAAACAACATCAGTTAATGTTGATTTTTTGAATTATTAAATGTAATAAAATAAGGAAATAAATCTAATCGATATCGCATCAAAAAATTCAATCGTAATATCAATGATTCGATTCTGCATAATTAGCGATTTATTTCAAGTAGTTTGCGACCGGTTGCTTGCGTAATCGGTATACGTATCATACGTCTATAATTCATAGACCCGTCTCCGAATGAATCGATCGCCCACATATCCTTGTATTAGATAGATAGATTGTAAATATTCTTTCGACTTGCGCTTTCGCGATATCAGAAGGAAAAATTTAAGACTTCGAAGTAAAAATCAGTAAACTTTTCTTTCTCAATAAACACATAATATACGCATGAAGGATGAATTACGTAGCATTATTAGTATACAAGCATAAAACAGAATATTTGATTAAATTTAAAAATACATTTTAAACTCTCTTTTTATTTTAGCTAAAGTGCAGCATTTGAAAAACTTGCCTCCTTCTTGCATTAAGCTTTCAATTTGTGTGTTTTCGATTTAATATAATATAATTATTAAATCGAAAACACACATATATAATAATATAATAATAATTATATAAATATATAATATAATAATATAATATAATTATGAAATCGATTAATATAATTTAATATAATATTTAATAATATAGTAATTTTGTATAATAAATTATAATATAATATTTAACGCGTTGAAATTTAGTTTGTTTAATAATGCTGCATATAAAAATTATCTCCTCAAAACAAGATTCGATCTCGTCGATTACTGAAAGTAAATGCATATGTTCTCAGTATATTAATGGTTTTACCGTGCACGAAATAATCATTAAATATTATATTTTTCATAAATTAACTGGCAGAAAATCATGAAACGCCCACGATGTTGTTTCGTTTTCGCCTTCCAGATCTTTTACGCTTCACGAATTTCGAAAGTAAAATGTGAAGATTGTGCAATATCAATCATAAATACCATATAATAGAATAATAATAAATTTAATAAATACGATAATAAATAATATTTTTTTAACATATTCTGAAATATATAATTATGTAGTGTGTTACAATCTAAGATCTGTAATACATTTTTATATATTGCGAATTTTAATGTTAAAAAATTGAATATTTTTTTGTATTTATATTCTAGATCCCTCTCTTTTCATGTTTAGAAAAACTTATCTTTATTAAAAGTTATGTAAAACTTATTAAAGATTTTAACTCTATAGGAAAATGTCATAATTGTTATTCGAGAAATGCTTACAAAGTAAAATCAATTATTACTAAAAAAATATTTTATTATTAATTTCATTAATAATTATACTTAATTTCATTAGTAAATTGTATTTAGTTTAATATTTTATTATTAATTTCATTAGTAATTGTACTTAATTTTATTAGTAAATTGTATTATGGATTATTAATAAAATTGTTTCTCGAATAATATGCAGACATGAAAAATTACGCCGTGTTTTTTATATACGCAAAATAAATTGTGATAGTAATGATTAACTCAGAGATTTTATAATTATAAGATACATCACTACTTTCAATTTAATTTTGATTTCACTTTGCTATTGATAGCGCTACGGGATGTAAACACAGATTTAATTTATGTCATTACGTATTCGCCGCAAATGAGATGTCACCATTAGTAAGAGAGGACAAAAAAGCTTTCTTGTTCTTATACTTGTCTTCTTCCCATCATTTATACGATTAGACAAGGGGAATATCTCTCTCTCTCTCTCTCTCTCTCTCTATTTCTCTTTCTTTTACCGTCCTCCCCTCTCCAACTGTGACTTGTGATAAGAGTGCGCAGTTTATTCCAATGTATTAAGGTCTATGAACAGGACACTCGTGTCGCGAAAAAAAAAAACGAAAGCCACGATCATTCGACTTACCTCTTTATTCATAAATCCGATGAGCTGACACTGTATTAGCGAGAAAAATCCACTTCACACGAACGATCCACTCGTGACAGGACGCGATCGACACTGCTCGCGGATATCGAAAAACGCGTTTAATCGTGTATTATGACGCCCTGAAATACGTCATTCGCAGATTCACTCTCGATCGCGTAATACACTCGATTTTTGCGAAAATAAGAACGACACGAAGTCGGCCATGACGAGCAATTATACGCGAATATGGCGGATAAGATTATCTATCACGAATCCTCGATGATTCTCCGATGTTCCTTGATACTTCTGGACAAGCGACATCGCAAAACACACACACACACATTCAGTTTTTAAAGATGGACCGTCCAAGGACACTGTACAACGAACCGAGCACAATGCGTATCGAGAATGCGTGAATCGCGATTTCTCAAGGTGAATTAATATTCTGACACCATCATCCGTTATTAGATTCGACACTCCCGACACTTGTTCATCCGCGAATTTCGCCCGGGACGCGAGACGTGAAGTGAACGCACCTCGCGAAGAAGAAAAGCGACATGGCGTCTCGTGACGTCACGCGCGACGTCATAATGGCGACTGAATTTTCGTGAACGATCGCGGGCCCCGAATCCATCGTGATCCGGTCGCGACGATTCTTCTCGAGGCCCGATCGATGATCCTCGATATTCTCTATCTTCGGATGAGCCTTCGGGGAGCTCGTCGAGCGAGGGAACATCGCGAATATCCTGTGTACGAAGATAGCTTTGTCCAAGGGCATCACTCGACGAAACACTGAGCTTCGCTTTCGGAGATAGCGTCCCGAAAAGACGTAAGTCGCACTCGCGAGGATCACCTCGCGTCCAACTGATC